CCCCAAAACCCCAAAACCCCAAAACCCCAAAACCCCGTCACACCATTTTGTGCTGAACCAATTAAATTTATTGTCTTAATGGAAAATAATCATCACAAAGCTGAAAAGAAACAGTCTTTTCTTAATGAGTCGCCTGATGGAGAAATCAAAGCTCTGTTTTGGGTCCCACTCGCTATTTTTGTTAGCATGATGAATGCTGTAGGAAACATTTGATTCAGTTATGTTTCGAAATACAAATATAAAGCTGCTGGAATGGAAGGGATCGGTGAATTCATCGGAAATTTCACTGCCCTCATAGCGATCAGCTTTTACTCAAAACTAGCAAGCTCAGTCGATAAATCTGAGGCTATGAGCGAATCTCAGTCCACTTGGTTCAAGTGGTTTTATGATATTTACTATGTAAGAAAGAAAGATGTCAATGGGAATATACTCGAAAACCAATGGGAGAACAAGATCCAGTTTGTTAGAGTATTTCTCACTCTTATTATTATTATATTTATACTTGCAGTGAACTTATGATATGCTGTGGGGTATCATTATGCAGCGATTGGACATCTTAATACTGGAGTGCTTTCTTCATGAGGAGTCACTCGGGTGATCTTCACTTCGATTATCTTTCACTTTTTATTCAAGCAAAGTTTGAGGTGGTACGAATATGTGGGAATCGTCATGATGATATTCTCGGTACTGGCTATCGTCAATTCAGGAAATGAAGAGATTATAAATGAAGACCAAGAAACACAAATAACATATATCATTTTATCATGAGGAGTTATTATCTTTTCCACTTTAATCGAATCTGTTACATCTGCAATGTTGAAATACTTCATTGGGAGCTCCAAAGAAGTGAATGTTTCTGCATTTTTCAATTTCGCACTCGCTATAGCAGGAGCGCTGTTTTGTGTTTACTTCCTGATTTTGCTATATCAAGGATTCCAATTTACAGCTTTTGAATTATGGATATCGATTCTTGGCGGAAGTACATACACAGTGGCCACCTATCTTATGACATATATCAATGTTAGAGGGAAGGCTGGAGTCGCGAATGCTATCTTCGAATCACGGACTCTATTTCAGACACTTCTCGACCTAATCCTGTTCTCCAGATTCCCAAATCTGGAACAGTACATCGGCCTATTACTGGGATTCACATCAGTGCTGGTGATAATCGTGTTTAACTCATTAAGAGGAAAATAGTTCAACCAAATAGTGCACTTTTGGGGTTTTGGGGTTTTGGGGTTTTGGGGTTTTGGGG